TGTTGTAAATATTGCCCTTATTTTATAGAGACCACTGTGAAGGGAAGTAATTTCGTAGTTGGGATAAACAGGCTTGGTTCCATAAAAAGGCATAAATTTGAAGGCTCATACCCCGATTCGTACTGAAAAAAGGTTGGAGCCCGAAGTTTTCAAGGAACAATATAGACGACCATCCTTCACCTAGAGGTGTTTGAAAGAATTTTACAGAAAGGCCGCCCTTCAATCCCATCTTTACGATACGCTCAGTTCGAGCGTGTAAACAGTCAAAAGAAGCTTTGCTCAAAAATGAAGGGGGCGAGTTCGTATGTAGATTCGAGCAATGATCCCAAGCAAAAAAGGCAGCAGAGCCCTCAGGGCGATCAAAAGTCAGGTAAAAAAACCAGGGCAAAGAACACAAAAGGGTCAGAAGACGATCCAAACTGAGGTCTCTGGGTAGAGTTTTGATCAGGTAAACACGGGATGGGCGACAACTCTGCCAAGGTGGTTGTGATGAACTCTAGAAGTACAGCATAAGGTGATAGGATCGAAGTGATAACTCTGTTCATATTCTGGGACCCCGCCAGTAATCCATTCTTCAAAATTTTGAGGAGGGTTGGTATTGCTCGAAGGTGCTATAGCCTCAAAGGAAACCATTTTCATTATCCCGTATTTCAAACATTAATGGCAATTTTAGAAGTGGGTTTTACATTTGATAGTGCTAATTATGGTTAGTTCCGTTCCGGTTAGGTTCCGTTTCTGTATTGTCTCATTGAGGGTGACTATGCGCTTGAATCTACTTTTTGCTGTCTCCAGGCCCATGTTTTACAGTCTCTGATGTCACGTCTGTTCTTGAGATGGAAAAAGTTGAGCAACCAGCCCCAGTCGCAAGTAAAAAATGGGTGACAGAGCCTTGTTCTGAGAAGTTCCCTACACTGACGCCATTCTGGACTCTGTCCCTGCATATTGTAACCCAACTCGATATCGAGTCTATACCGATTGCCCTTTGATTCGAATATTGTCTCGAAATCTCAAACGTCCACATCTTCTCGTCTCGACCTTCATATCACCAACTGTCTCGACTATTTCGTAGTCCATGAGCTCTCTATCCAAACAATTTTACACACTCCAATTCTGCTTCAGTCATCACTTGGTTTGAGTATGATGGTCAGTCTGAGGTTTCTGTAAGACTCAATGGTCTGGCACAAAGCAATCATCCATTTTCACCAGACATTCCCTAGCTATAACGGAGAGCTCACCCACTGCCTTCCTTCCATCCTTGTCGTTATATTGATTCCTTACTGAATTCAAGCTACCGATCTGCAGATACCGATCAGGCTACTACAGCAGGTATCGACACTCGTCGATAGCTCCTCCACTACGACAGCACAGCCAGCCTATGGATGTACGAACTGAATAAGATGAACAGAGAGTTCTGCCATGAACCGCCAGTGAATTATAACTTTGATGTTGCGAAAACTCCTTTCGTTCTAGCCATATTTCGGAAGATCCAAGTCTAGCTGCTGATGGTACGTGGACCAGGTTGTAAAAATCCGAACAAACTCGGCTGGATAAAGCGGAGGGGATCAACTGGTACCCTCGGCGAACGACGACGCTCCAAGACTTTCGAAGAAACAGTGTACAGGGCAGCACTGAGTCCTACAATGATGTACGGCGGCGAATGCTGGCCCATAAATGGGTATCATGAAGGAAAACTTCACTCCGCTGGGTTGAGGATGCTCTGATGGCCCTGCGCTCGGACACCACTGGACTGGGTTAGCAACGAAAACTTCAAAGCATTTATGCTATTCAGCTTCTGTCCAGCTGAAGATGAGAGAGTAGCGTTTACGATGGCTCTGGAACGTACTCAAAGGATCACAGGATGATCATGTAAGAAAGGTAATGGAGTTCGGGGCTTGAAGGAAGCAACCACGAGGCGGACGTCCCGAAGAAGAGGTAGCGGGAAGTGATCAAGAGCTCACTGAAGCTGAAGTAACGGTAGAGGATGCCGTAGATAGTAGGAAGTGGAGACAACTGCACAAAATAGCGGATTCAATGACGCTGTGGAATTACTGCTAGGAAGAAGAAGAAGTCTAGAAGCGTTTCGGAAAATTCCACTGTTCTCTGTGTTCGTTCAGATTGGACAGCTTTCTCAGCTACTACTGCGACGACGACACCGTCAAGGAAGAACTGACGTTGCAACTGCTCCATTCCCTCTGCAGCACTTCCAGGGGCATTTTCAATCGATCGTGCAACTTCGCTATTGATTATTTTATGGTCCAAACTGCCAGAACAAATTCTCATCTCAAAATCTGACACAATCGGAAACTCTTTCGTCAAGACGTCCTGACAGCTCAATCAGTCCATCTGAAGACATTAACTGGAGCTGGGATGTCGTCAATCCTTTCGTTCCGATAGCGTTCAAAAAATCCAATTGTTCCTAGTATCAGTTGCGATTAGACAAGGTTCTCAGCTATTGCTGTGGCGAGGACAAGATGGGGAGACTTTGAAACTGCCTTCATTCCACCCACAACGGTTCAAGGGACATCCTCCATCGATTGAGCACATTGACTATCGATTATTTTGATGACCCAAACTACCAGAACAACTCATTCATCTCAAGCACAGACATGATCAAGGGGAGATTTTAGCAATGTTAGCAAGTTTCCCGCTGTCTGTTGAACTTCAAAGGCCATTGTCAGCGAAAATCCCAACATTCAGTTTGAAAGACTAATTTTCCTTTGACAGACTGCACTAATAAATCATTATTGAACATTTCTAAAAAAACTCAGCTCACTAGAAAGGAAAATCGATATCGAGAAGGTATTTTATGAATGGATCATTCGAAAACTAATCGTAATGTCAATGATACACAATGACATTCCCGAAGAAATGAAGACAAAAACGAAGCAACTCACGACTCAATCGAAGTTCCACGTAGTTACTTATGAATCTTTGAAGAAGTCCTTCGTAGAGAAGCAGGAGCTCCAGCTGAAATCGGAATGAAGAGGTGTCCCGAACACTTGGGAGAAGCATTGGAGAGGTCAGACAGTGGAGGTCTGATTGGGATCGAATGGGCAGCATGAACTCTGCGGAATCATGAAGTTGGAGCCGTGAAACAGCCCCGGAACAACCAAAAAGCCTTTTCATAACGCTCAAATCTGAATAATCTCCATCGCTTCATCCGTTCAAAAGTTCTGTGGCTTA